AAAGTCCTAGAAATAAATGACCCATATTTCTCACTCCCATCAAGGCAATTATCAAGAATATAAGCAACAATAAATGTAGGTGCAGATGAAAGGAAAAATGTACACTCACACATTTTTGGTGGAACTGCAAATTGGTGCAACCACTTCTGGAAAGTAGTAAGGAGATTCTTCAAAAAACTCGGATTGGAACTAAAACTTGACTCAGCAGTCCCACTCCTTGTTACATATCCAAAGGATTTAAAATCAGTATACTACATTGATACAGCTACATAAATATTTATAGCAGCACAATTCACAACAGCCAAGTTATGGAGCCAAACTAGGTGCCCTTTCATATGAAAGATGCATGGATAAAGAAAATGTGTGTATGGAGTATTACTCAGCCATAAAGAAGTATTACTTGATGACATTTGCCTATTAATGGATGGAAATGAAAGCTATCATACTAAGTGAAATAAGCTAATCACCAAAAGTCAAAGGTCAAATGTTTTCACTGGTATGTGACAGCTAATCCAAAATAAGGAGCCAGGAAGTTAAAAAAAAAAAAAAGAATAAAGATCAGTGGAGTAGGCATAAGGGAATGAAGAGAAGGGAAGGAAATGGGGAGAGAGTGAAACGAATCTGACTTAACATGGTATATTCTATGTACATCTATGAATATACCACAGTGAATCTCACCATAATGCACATCCACAAGACACTAATTCAAAAAAAACTATAAGTAAATAGCAGAAAGATCTGTAGGGTAGGTGAAAGGGAATAGGACTGATTTAGAACAAACTGTATTTCATGTTTTTGTAATTATATCAAAACAAATTCTATTGCCACGTGTAATTCAAAAGAAATAAAGTAAAAATGAAGTCGAGTTGGTAATGGCACTGTATCTTAGAGTCTGAACTGCGAGTGATGTAATATAGACACAAAAATAGTAAAATAAAATCCAGTATTTTTAAATATTTAGCCAATCTTCGGTTCTTCATTCCTTCTGCATTTCTATAAATCTTTATGGGATCATTTTCCTTTAGCTTTAGAATTCCACTTAATACTTGTTGTGATATTCTGTTGGTTATGGCTGTTTCAGTATTTTGTTGTTAAAATGCGTTTTTATTTCTGAAGTTTATTTTCTCTGAATATAAAATTCTGAATGACTAGTTTGTTTTTAATTTCACACTTTAAATGTATCAGCCATATTGTTGCTCTTTTGAAGCTAGTGTATCGTTTTTGCTCTGTTTTTATTAGCTATCTTTTATTTTTTTTTGATAAAGGAGTTTTATTAGGTAAAAAAGAAGAAATAGAGTAGATGAATAGATGTAGCAAGTAAAGAAATTAAATCAGTAATTTTAAATTTCCTGAGGAGGATAACTCAAGCCCAGGAATTCTACTGCTTTATTTTACCAAATATTTAAAGAGGACACAATACTAATTATTTATAAAAATAAATGGGAGCACTTCTCAACTCATTCTATGAAGCTTGTATTTTCCTGATACCAAAACTTGATAAAGGTATCACAGGAAAACTAAAAACAAATATCACTAGTGAATATGTTAAAAAAATTCTCAGAATTCCATAATTCAAGTTAAAGCTCCCAGTACAAATATTGAAGGTCTTTTTACCAGCCAATATGTTGTTTCACTGTGGCAGTTAAACTAAACAAAATGTTGAAACCACTCATTTACTAGCATTGAAATGATACAATGACTTTTAAAACCTCAGGAGAGGATTTATTACTACTTTAAACTTTTATATGTAAATATAATTATGTTGAGTGGTTGAAGGTGTAGTTCAGTGGAAGAGCTATTCCCTAGAATGGGCAAGACACTATTTTTTTATTTATCACAATTCTTTATGCAAGATTTAAATTTGAATAGAATACTAACACCCTGAAATTTTTTTTCTCCAATATAAAGAAATAATCCCAATCTAAGCCTTGCTAATTCACATACATATCACTTTTTCCATGTGAAGGGAAATAACAAGCTGCTTAATTTATGGTATGTGTGAGTGTCTGTGGTTTGGAAACATAAATTAGGAATTTAGTGATATTCTTTAATCACCTTGCTCATATTTGTGTCACATTCCAGTTCTTTTTGTAGCTTATATAAACTCATCCAGGTTCATGTCTGGTGGGCTATTTCCCTGTATAGATGCAGTTAGGGAAATTGCAGAAAATTATTAGTATCTATATTAAATCACTCGCAGTTCAGACTCTAAGATACAGTGCCATTAGGAACTCTTCTTCTGTAAATTTATTGACAAGTTTCTATAAACTGTGTCAATTTGCCATCATATAATTCTGCACAAATGCTGAACGTTATGACAGGTCATTTGATTTTTCTCTTTTGATTTCCAGGACAAACTGAAAAATGCCTCCTTTCTGATATCGCATTTGTTTGGGGAGTAAGGCTGAGGGAAGATTGGAAAGAAGATAAACAATAGAAAATGCAAAAACTTCATACCTATCTTTAAAAACAGGAAACTTCCTTAGCTAAAGGCAGCTGCACAGATTCCGATTGCACTTTGTCTGGAGAAAGCAAGTAAGTAGGAACGTGACTCCTTTTATCTCCACCATGAATAAGCTGGGTTAACTACAAAATCAACCACAAAACACCACCACCACCCTTTTCTATCAGAGAACTGAGGTCCCCAGGATAAGTAACGAAATCATCTGAACTCCAAACTGAGCCCTCTTCTCCACCTCCAGGGGTGGACCATGAAGTCTCCTGAGATTTGGAAGATTTGAAAGGAAGAGGAGATGTCACATGAAAGGGTAAGAAAAAAATCAGCTGAAATGTTCAAAAGTTATTGGAAGCCAGCGTGGGCTGGGGTGTCTACTTGGCATACACAAGAAGAGTCAATGCACTTGGTGTCTTCTTTTTCTGGCACTGTGTCCTACATGTGCAAATTGGTCCATCTCTTTCCCCTTGCTTCTCAATGTGTGCTTTAAACTGATTGAATAAACATGATTCACATGCCATTTTCACCTGAGAGCCTTTCTGTTCTGTAACCTATGTGTGTCTTTGATACCTGGCAGTGTATCAGAGACTATTGTACATTTAGTTTTCCTCTGAGACAGGATTTTACAGAATGGAGTTTGGTTTCCATATGTTCTGTCAGTGCAGAAAATAGTATAAGTAATAAAATATGGAAGGAAGGGGCAGAAGTTGGGAGGAAGAATAAGACTATCAGCGCCTCATTCTGTAAAGGCTAGGAGCCAAAGGAGAGCTTGTGAAGCTGTCTAGTAGCATCTCAACATACTTAAAATTGCAAAGAAATCTAATGTTATTAAATTTGGTAATATAGCATATCTACAAGTGGCTAATTTTATTGTTGTTCTGAATAAAGAATAAATATATTCTATCCAACGAAAGGAGAAACCTTTCTGAATTAGAAGGATTAAAAGTAAGAAGAACAAGGAAAACATAATTTAGTGAAAAGTGTTTAATATGTGTACTGGGGATGTATCTCTCTAAGTGGAGTGCTTGCTTAGTATGTATGAGGCCCTGGGTTTGATTCCTAGCATTGCTATGATTAATAATAATAATAATAATAGTTAATGATAATAATACAATGTAACCAAACATAACCATTATATCAATACACATAAATGGACTCTACTTCTCTGTAAAAATAAACAGATTTTGAGGTTGGATCACAGGCCAACTTCAACTCTATTCTGTTTTAAAAGGCACAGTAAAGTCATATAATTTAGAAAGATTAAAAATATAAAGATGTATATAAATAGATGAAAAAAATAGTTATAACTGTTAGTTATAACTATAAGATGTAATTGAGTCAAATGGACTCAATATAAAATAACAAATAACTAATTAACATCTAGAAAATGACTGTAATGAAAACCTCACATGGTCTTATGTATAGAAAACATTAAAATGGCACTCAAAATTCATAGCCATTAATTCTCATATGGCTATCTGAAAATAAATGAAAACAAATCAAGGAGATGACTGTAAAAGTAAAATAAAGCAGAAAAAAATGATTGTAAACTGAAATAAATTAATCAGTAATAATATAAAAGTGAGCAAAAATATAAACAAAACAACTGATACCTTAGAAGAAAAAAAAATTCATACAGTATTAACAAACTAACCAATACAAAAGAGAAAAAATAATCTCAAATTCACAAAAGAAGAAACAACATGGGTTTAGTTGTCGTAGAAACAGGAAATTTTAAAAAATTGTTAAGATTTGGATTTGAGATGTCCTGGAGAAGCTCCTGTTAATGCGCATTGTCATGTGAATCGATATTTTATGAGAACACAAAGGAAAGACCAAGCACAGAACATATAAGCATTTAGAATGTGGTGACTGGAATCTCAAGTTAAAGTATGTCAAAATATGAAATTATGAATATACTGGAAGGAAATGAGTAAATCATTTATGCCTTGGAATAAGGCCTTTCTCATTATTGTAAATCTGGAAGTCACAAAATGAGAGATTGAGACTAAACCATCCTTACACTATTATAGTTGTTTACACTACTACACATAATGACATGTGGGTTAACGATGCACTGCACATATCATGGTGGTCTCATAAGATTATGTCAGCTTAGTGATCACAGCCGTCTGTGTGTAATCACTCTCCATCCTGTTCTCATGATGATGAAATCTCTTAATGGCAAATTCTCTAGAACTTATCAGTTATTAAACACACATGACTGATTACCACTTTGACTTTTTGAATCACATAAATATATCAACTATTCAAAAATATTTAAAATATGATTACATTAAGAATATTCTTCTGGCTCTAGATTTTTAGGTTTCTTCTCTTTGTCTCTGTCTTTTTCTCTTTATGCTCTTCTTTTCATGTTTAATGAAAAGCATGATATTAAATCAATCACTTTTGTGATAAATCTAGCTTTCCCACAGTTGTTCTATAAAAACAACTTTAGAGAAACACCAAGTTCCTTCAGTAAAATGCATGAAGTGAGCTCACCATCTAACACCGCATAAGAGCAGAGAGGGACTGGGCTCACCTGGGACGAGGAGACTGTATGGTGATCCCAGCTGTGTCATCCAAAAAAGGCACAGTGAACGAAGCCCAGCATCTAGCACCTCCTCTTGGCTAGTTTTGTTGTCAGTAAGATGGGGTGGGTGAATCCAGTGGTCAGGATCACTGGTGTTTCTCCAGCTTGGCATGAATATGCTCAAAAAAAAAATACATTCTAAGATTCCAGGACATCCGTACTTTCAAGCATGTTGTCAAATCTGTCTTGCCAAGAATTGTCCCAATTTCTAGTCCTACAACTAATTCAGAGATGAAGAAAAGAGTTAAAACTTTTCCTATACTCTGCACTTCTATTAATTTTTAGGCATTTTTTCGTTCTTCTTGTTTTTCTTTTTAATTTGAGCACTTTTACAGAAAAACTCAAGGCTGTTATCAAGAAAGAAGAAAACAAATGGATACTAAACATGAAGGGTAAAAAGGGTTTCCGTGTTTTATTTGTTTATGATAAAACAATAAATGTTGAGGGTCGGTTACATTCTAGAAATTCAGATCAATTACCTAAGTGCCTCAAAATTTTATTTTAATTAATTTCTTGGAGTAAATATGGAATTACCATCTGCCCACTAGGCATTTTTTTTTAAGTAGTGTATAATTGATTTTCCAGATTTAAATCTTACTGAGGCATTTTTAAAAGTTAAAGATAATCCAGTCAGTTTTAGACAATTAAAATCCTCATTTGTTTTTCAAGGTATGATTTGTAAATAATAATAATAATAATAATGATAATAATAATAAGGAGATAGAGAGACAGACAAGGTGCAGAGGCAGGGAAGGTGGCAGAGTGGCTCTTTGTCCACGTGGCCACATTTATTTATATCACTAGGTTACATTAGGTCATTAGTACCAACAACCACATTATTGTTTAGAGTATAAGTAAGGTTGCTTATTCTGCAGTTGCATTTCATAGTTACAATATACAATGTTAGGAGCTTTGTGCCTTTCTCAAGAAGTTTCTTTGTCTGAAGTTACTGTTAGGTAGGCAGATCCAGGAGCACTGGAGCTTAGTGAAACATTGTAGTTATCAAGCAAACAAATTCCTTTATTCTCAGGAGTTATGTGCCTAAGATTAAGGTCCAAGCTGATAAGACTCTAGCAAGGAGGGCATTACCATAGCAACTGGGCATCCTATGTATTTGCAAAGAAACTTTCCCAGGCACCAAGCATGCCACAATCACACAGTTTATCAGAGACCCAATCTCAAACACAGAACTCCTACAATGGTTGACTTTAAGTTTTAGTTAGTAATTATAATTTTATTGCTCTTATTATTACCATACAATAGTAATATTAATTTGAAAATGATCATTATAACTTATTGAAGCATTTTGTATTTAAATTATTTACTGTATTTCATTTTAAGAAGTATTTACATCAGAGTTTATTGTTAATTGTCAATGATTTCCAAATGAAGGCAAAGCATTTTTTTTTCAATTCTGTTGTTTGAACTCAGAAGCATTGTATCACTGAACTACATTCTCAGACATTTTTATTTTATTTTATAATAATAATAATTATTTTTTGAGATGGGGTCTTGCTCAATTGCCCAGGCTGCCATCCTCCTGCTTCAGCCTCCCAATCTCTGGGATTACAGGCATGTGTCACCGTGCCTGGAGGAATGAAATAACTTAGAAGGCCAGATCTGAATATTAGACTTGCAATATTTCTTTGAGTAACAGTCTCCTTGGAAGTGCATTATCTCTAAAAGAACCATCTCCCACAAAAAGAAAAAAGAGAACAAAGGCTCACATTAAAAGAATGTGAGTCGTATTTGTGAAGCCTATTAAATAAAAATTAAAGCTGAGAATATAGCTCAGGGTACTTATTTAACATGCAGGAGGCCCTGGATTCTATCCTCAACACTTACAAAACAGCAAAATAAATAAATAAATAAATAAATAAATAAATAAATAAATAAACAATTAAAAAATTTAAAAAAAATTCTAGGAGGCTACCATTTTGGACAAAGCTCCTTAATTGACCAGACTAAAATCCAAAATAAAGTCATTTTTTAAAAAATCTCCAAGTCATCAAATTGAAACTAAGCTATTTATCTAATATTCTGAAAAATCAGAATTAGAGAAGGGTAACAATCAAATTTCTGAAAGAGGCCACTTTCAATTGGTATGACAATGATGAACCTTCCTCTGTTTTAACTCTTCTTTTTTCTTTCTCTCTTTTCTTTCTTTCTTTTCTTTTTTTAGTTGTAGTTGGACACAATACCTCTACTTTATTTATTTATTTTTAAGTAGTGCTGAGGATTGATTGGATCCAGCACCTTGAATGTGCTAGGAGAGCGCCTACCCTTGAGCCAAAACCCCAGCTGGTAATGCTTTTTTTTTGGTAACTTTTTTTTAAAATTTAATTTTATTATTTACAAAAGTGGAGCACAATATTTTATTTCTCTAGTTGTATAAGATGTAGAGTCAAATCATTTGTGGAATCATTCCCATACGTAGGGTAATAATGCTGTCTCATTGCACCATGTTTCCCACCCCTGTACCCCTCCCCTCCCATCACCCCCTTCAATCCAAGTTCCTCCATCCTTCTCTTTCCCCTCCTCCATCATAAATCAGAGTCCACTTAGAGAAAACATTTGATCTTTGGTATTTTAGGATTGGCTTATTTCTTTTAGCATGATATCTTCCATTACCTGCAAATGCCATAATTTCATTCTTCTTTAAGGATAATATCCCATTGTGTATATATACCACATTTCTTTATCCATTCATTTATTGAAGGGCATCTAGGTTGGTTCCACAGTTTATCTTATGTGATTTGAGTTGCTATAAACATTGAGGTGGATGCATCAATGGATTATTTCAGGTTACTTCTTTAAATAAAAATTAAAGGAAGAAAATCAAGTTGCCCTAATTCTCATTTAAAGAAGTAACCTGAAATAACCTGATATTAATCATTTTTTTTTCTTATTGGTTCCTCTTCCCTGCCCTGTTTTACTAGGAAAGTAATTTTGAAATGATCAATGCACATTTTGGGTAGGGGGGCGGGTACTGGGGATTGAACTCAGGGGACACTCAACCACTAAGCCACATCCCCAGCTATATTTTGTATTTTATTTAAAGAAGGGGTCTCACTGAGTTGCCTAGCTCCTCACTTTTCCTGGGGCTGGCTTTGACTCGGGATTCTCCTGTCTCAGTTTTCAGAACGACTGGGATTACAGATGTACACCATCGCCTAACCTTTCTCTTTCTATGAAACAAAGTTTTTGCTCAGATCATCAGAAAACTTATTGTGTTTATGGAATGAAATGTTCCCAGGTTCCATAATCTAAAAATAAAACCTATTAAAATCATTAATCATTTTTTTCCTTTGAAGAGCCAATAAACTTTTTTTTTTAATACACATAGGAGAAAATAGTGTAAGACATTCTTTTTGAGATTGTAGTTTAAAAACTAAAGAACCACAGTCTAATCTTCCAAAGAGAAAAGATGGTCAAGAATGATATTATTGGTAATTGGAAAAAGTCTACATCCCTGGGTACTGGTGGTCATCTATCTCTTTCTGGTTGTCTATTAAAATCAGCATCGAGCTGGACATGATAGCCCATGCCTGTGATACCACTGAGCCAGCCTCAGCCACTTGGAGAGGCACTTAACAACTCAGTGAGATCTTATCTCTAAATAAAATACAAAAACGGGTAGAGGATGTGACTAAATGGTTAAGCACTCCTGGGTTCAATCCCTGGTACCAAAAAAAAAAAAAAATCACCATCAATCAAACAATTCACTGATTATTAAAGAAACAACCAGGTATTTAATAACACTCAGCTTCTGTTTGACCACATGCTGTCTGTGTGTGATGGATGTATAAAATTCCATAAATTGTTACTATCCTTATTATTATCCATGGGAAGATTGTGCTGGTACACATGAAATAATTAGATGATCATGTATAAGTGGTATAGCATTTAACCTCTCCGACCCCAAAAGGCTATTGAGCAAGGTAAATAAAAGGTTTTTGACATAATGCAGATATTGAGGTACTGTATGCTGAGGTTGTCACTGGAGTCCTAGGCCAGAGGACCCATCCTAGGGATCCCACCAAATCAGGTCTGGCCACACCTCAACAACTAAGTGGGGTAAGTAAATGTGCAACACAGGAAAAGAATCTTAATCAAAATAGCTGTATTGGGAAGGCAAAGCAAAATCAAGCCTCTTAGTATTTGTCTTTAAAGGTACTGACATGAGCTTAAGGTTGAAATTAAGGAAGAGTTGGAGCAGGGGGAGAAAGGTATGGAGGACTGCCCAATCTTGGTCAGACTTGTCTGATTGACCATTATCTCAGATTGGATTCTGCATGGTGGTTCCAGAGAACTCGTGTTCACACCAGGGAGCAATCTCCATTTGCTTTGCGGGACATTTATCCATCAGACCTGTGATCCTGGAAGGGGACAATTCAGTTTACATGAAATTATTGTTTCTGGTTGGGGAAGGCTCCTATCATGGGGGTGATTTGCTGTTCCTAGAAAGTCTGGGGCAATGACTAGAGATTTTTATGTGCCACTCCAGTGGTCTGTAACAGGACATTGTAAAAGTTGGCAGCTGAATATCACTACAAGGCTTGAAGATATCTAGTCTTGGAAGGGGATGAGATAGATTAGGAAAATTTAAGCTAATAGCCCTTGTATTACATTTCTTGAGTAATTAACATGCCTACCTGCAGAGCAGAGCAGAGCAGAGCAGAGCAGAGCAGCAATCTTATGCAAAATAAGGTAATAGAGGAGATAGATACAAAATGAAGCCAGGGATGACAAGCTGTATCCTATATTTTGTTGGCTGTTGGACATCTGAAGGCCCAAGTGGATGACCAGTGCTTGTAGTAAGAGCAACTTCTAATTTTCTGTGATGAGAGTGCATTTATAGCTCCATACTGATTCACATTCACCCAAGTAACTCCTACCCACATCATTTTAATGAATGAGTAAAAAAGGAAGACTATAAACTACTATGAGGAACAAACATTAACAAAGCATTATCAAACCCTCCGAACCTAGACTTGATCTGGTACATGATGAGAGACAAGGATAGGAGGGTCTCAATTAAATAAAAATGGTTATGCTTGGGAAGAAGTAGCAAGAACAATTGGTTGAAATAGGAAAGACAGGAATGATGAATAGTCTTTAGTAACAGGTAGAGACTTGGATGTGATAACCAGAAGCTGTGCTGAAATAGTACTGTCTCCTGGGACCGTGAAGGAGAAAAATCTTCTACCTTGATCCAAAAGATAAGTTTAGTGTTTGGAATCAAACTGGGAATCAAACTGACAAAATACAGATTAACAAGAGAAAAGACCATGTTTTTTCGCTGATGTCTACAGGAGCTCACAGAATATGTGATTCTAAGAGATGGTCAGAGAGTGGGGATTATATACTATCTTATGCTTACAGGGCTGGGACCTTCTGGGAAAACGAGGCAGTGGAAAGCCCCTGCTTCTTCAAACCCCAATTCTTGTGATCAAGTTAGAAGGATTTTAGACAAGTCACTTGGAGTTACAGGCATGAGTTTATTAGAAGGGAGAAGAAAGGAGAAAGGGACCA